TCAAAATGATTTTTAGTGAACACCTTTAAATATTTATATTCCAACAAAACCAAGAGTGTCGTGAGTTAGTGTCAAAATGATTTTTAGTGAACCCCTTTAAGTATTTATATTCCAACAAAACCAAGAGTGTCGTGAGTTAGTGCCAAAATGATTTTTAGTGAATCCCTTTAAATATTTATATTCCAATAAAACCAAGAGTGTCGTGAGTTAGTGTCAAAATGATTTTTAGTGAACCCCTTTAAATATTTATATTCCAATAAAACGAAGAGTGTCATGAGTTAGTGTCAAAATGATTTTTAGTGAACCTCCTTTAAATATTTATATTCCAACAAAACCAAGAGTGTCGTGAGTTAGTGTCAAAATGATTTTTAGTGAACCCCTTTAAATATGTATATTCCAATAAAACTAAGAGTGTCATGAGTTAGTGTAACAATGTTTGTAGTTTTGTTTTCATGTAAGATATCGAAGTTTGTCTCATTATGAGCTTGTGTAAAAACAACAAACAAACGCAAAACAGTATTCTACAGTTAGATCATATGCCTCTATCTCACTAGAATTTCATAGGTTATAACCCATACCTTTGCAATTTTCTTAGGAATTTTTCGTGAATATTGTTTTAATATATTGAACGGTACTTGCAATTTTGTTTTTAAGTAGCTGTTACACATTTCACAAACACTTGTTTTTTTATTTGTATATTTCTGTCAGATCTTGTGATCTGTTGGGGAAACTGATTGGGGGGGGACATAAGTCTTATCATAAGTTGTTTAAAAACAGTCGCTTCAACATCTTGATAAAAAAAATTAGATAAATGCTGCTATTACATCCCGAGTATCTTCCCGGATTTTTTATTGTGTGAACACTTGTTAATGTATTTTAACGTACATAGTCCGCTTTTGGGTACTTTTTTGATTTGGTTTTTTACCGATACGAACGCATAAATCTTAGTCAATCAGACCAAATTTTTCCTTTGCAGACGTTTATCAGCATTATTTTACTGTTTTATTTTCAAATGTCTTGTTAGAGCTTACATTAAACGTATTCTTATGCTCATTTTAAGATATT